TTTGACAGGAGAACAGGGTTGACCGGCATTGCAGAAGCTGTCGAGACCGCTATCTTGGGTATTAGTGTCCACATTTTGCAGATAAAGTCATGGACTGAGACTCACCAGAAGAAGTTGGGTGCACCGAAAGAATTAGCAAAGTTTTGGACAGCGTTACTTTGAACCTTGCTGACGTTGAAGGTCGTCCAATCAGCAAGGAAGTTCTCGATGTCGAGCTTCTTCCATGTGTCTTGGTTGAGAGGCTCGGCCTTGCAGTCTGCAGAACCAGTGTCCTGTGGAAGGGGGGTAGCGATAGCGCCAGTGTAGGCCAAGGCCAGAAGGAGTTGATTTGCTCTCATTATGAAGCTTCTTCAAGAAGCACTCGTAATAACAACTAGAGAAGGTATAAATTTCAAGAAAAAGAATGTATTGGGCAAACAAATGAGCCCTGGCAAGCTAGAGGCAACAGAGAGCGTGTATGAATGAGTTTGATGAGAGTGGCGAACTTCTTCGTCTCACCACAGCCGACCCGGAGGTCTAATACATCGCGAAGAGGCATCTTTCCGATATCCGAGAACAAGGTCGAGCTGATCCTGAGCTGAAGAATGATCAGTCATCTTGCAGTCATGCATGAATTGGGTTGTAAGTCGGCGTGGTTCCCCACGAGCTACCCGACTCGTGCCTGGTGGGACCCTTAACCTGGAACTACCCACCGGCTTCTATATCAGTGCGCTTCTTAAGACGTCGAAGCATTAACGACAATGGGTGAAAGGTACGTTTTGAAACAAGGGCTGCCCGCCTTGTTTTCTTGTACACCGCTTAACAGCCTTACGGACTTTTTCTGCATCCCCGGAAAGCGAAGTAGTTTATTTGAGTCTCCTTGTAAGGCCAGTGCGGAGACAGTCTGGCCAAGTCTCCAGCCAGTTCGTTCCAACTTTCATGAACACAGCCCTGCAAGTGGCTTCGAATGGAGTCGTCCAGTCTAAAGATAGGATGGGTTTGGCTTTGATTGAAGGAGGATACTCTCACTCGCCTAGCTCGCTTATAGTCTAAGGGGCTTTGAGTTCTTACGATTGCAGATGTGACGTACTATATGGATTCGGATAAGAATGAACATCACTCAAAGAATTGTCACTGGTGTCCTCTACGGTGACTGGCACTGCAGCTCATCACTATTTCCGTCAATGATGAGACAGAATTGTGACGAGTTTTCCGCTACTTCTTAAAACTGGTGTTGTCTACTGCCTGATGCCTTAGCTAATAGAGACCGTGGGCAGTAGGTTCGGGCAGCATATTTCGAGACTGGCCGCTGACAGATCTGTTACCTCAGCTACGCTCCAGACAGACTTTGGTATCTCTCAGCCATGATCATGATCAGGCATAAACCTCTGGCAAGGACCCATACTTTGTCAACTCAAAGTTCAGGCTATAATCTTTCATCATGCCAAAACCAGACTTCACACGGAGCAAAGAGGGGCATTGTCGAATGCCAAGTGAGCACTCCTGACGGCTGTGCAGGCCCCTCTGACTGCCCAATTCTTAGGCTTAAGGGGCACTGTCAATAGAGATCGGAATAAATTGGCCTTGGCAGGCCAGCCTTTGGTGCACCTGGCGACGTCTAGTCCGTGGTCTCGGTTCACTTGGTCACTTGAAAGTCTTGGGTGCGAGCCGACCTGCCCTATTTTGTCAGCTCTGACAGGCGACTAACTATTGACTTGTGGAAAACAGTTCAGTTTGGATGAAGGGCCTGTTCGCAGCCGGCTGTTTCAACCGCTTGTCAACAGAATGCAAATGTGCCTGCCAAGGTACAGCACCCGCTGCTCGCGTGTTTATCTCCTAGTTAGATCGAAAGAGAGTTGAATAAGAGAATAACCAGCATCTTTTAGTTCCATCGAATGTGGGTGAACGAGTAGCATCCCGCCGGCTCGTGTAGCCGAGAGAGACGCCAAGCACTCACACGGAAGTCGCGGCTATAACATGAAACACGGCCACGATGCCGCAGGGCCTTCGAAGCTTTCTATTTTCTTCGACTACTAAATCAAGTCCAACCTCTGCAAACTATTTAAGTCAAAGGCTCCCTATAACTTCGTCAAGCCGGCGGGATGACCTGTAGGTATTTCTGGATGCTATCTTCTTCGCGGCGCTCCGATACGATCTCCAGACAACCGGGCAACACGGCAGCCCCGAAAGATCCGCGGTGGACCCACCTCGGCCCGGCCTCCATTTTTCGGAGGTTTTTGCTGCGGGCAGCAGAAGTTTGTGGACGGTCCAGACCCCAGGCTCCGAGTCACGATTCGTGCACTGGGCAGATGATCCTCATTCATGATGCTACGCTCGAGAATAGCGAACCTGCCAGCGCTGAGCGGTCAGAGCCCACGAATAGCTTTCGCGGCGACTCAATTGAGAGCGGGAGACAGTTGCGAGGCATGCTATAAGAAGGAGATGGAACCATTTGGCTTGAGGCATGGAACGTATTGAATTCCACGGGAAAGTGGAAGTCCGCGGCGTTACCTCGTAGCATGCTGTATGGTTTCAAGGCCTCAGCTTAGTGGTCATGACTGGGAGAAAAACTGCCTCGAACATGTAAGCCATCGTACTCCCGAGTAGATCATTAACACACAAGTCAGTGCTACCTGCAGGGCTTTTGAGTCAGAAATTGAATGTAGATTTCTTCCAGTTAATTTTCAAAAGATTATGGATACTATCTGCCCATTACGTTTATATCATCAAGCACCCATGATACCTTTTTCGTTTCCACCTAGGCCCGAACGCCAGTAACGACATGAGGAATTCCGCGGGTAGCTCATCGCCCCCATTATGAGATTACACACTAAAGATTCGTTCTCTGGGTCTTAACCAGAGATGACTCAAGAAGTTTAAAGTTCCAAATTGCAGAGAAAAATAAGGGGGCATGCACGCAAACTGAACCAACATCAGTTCGAAGTGCCGCAAGTACCGAACCCAGCCTGACAACCATTACCGCAGTGGTCCGTCGTGGCACCGCACCACCCATACTGAGAACAGCACGTCGCGCCGGGTTCGCTGATGCAAGTGGTGCCGCCCTGCGTGGTACCGCAGCGCCCGTTGGTGCTCAGTGGAGGAGACGCCGCCGTACCGGTGGACGCAGGTGCGGAGCTAGTGCCGGACGGCGTGGGGACGGGAACGTTTGCAGATGACGACGCGGAACTGACGGGGGCAGGGGGACTCGATGCCCCGGAGGTCTGGCAGTTTCCGTAGAGAGGCTGGCATGCGGCGCCGCAATGGTCAGCCGTGTTTCCACACCAGCCGGCGGATGAGCAGCAGGTTGCACCGGGCTCGGTGAAGCACGTCGTGCTCCCGAAGTTGGCTCCGCAGCGGCCGTCTGTGGAAGCAGGGAGAGTGCCGGTTGGGGCGGTAGCGCTTGAGGACGTGGCAGTTCCTGTTCCTGTGGCTACACGAGTAGTGGTGCCACTGGACGGCGGGGCATCACCAACGGAGCGGTACCAGTTCTCCTTGGGATCGTCGAGGCATTCACCGACGGTGACAGACTTGAATCCGTTGCGGAAAAGGGATTCGAGCATGTGGTCTGTCAGGTTATAGACACTCTGGTAGACGGGGTCGTGCTCAATTTGGAGCCACTTGGTGGTGGCGACGTCCTTGCCCTCGACGTTGTCATCCCAAATATCTTTGGAGTCTTGGATGAGGTCGGCGCTGTCATGAAGATAGCCCTCAGTATCAAGGTTGAAGTAGGTGATGTGGTAACCCAAGTCATTGAGATAGCCCTCGCATGTAGCATCACAGGCTGAATAAGGGGGTCTGGGGTGTGTTAGACAAAGACAATCAGACTTCGACATGGTCTCAGTGAGCATACCTCATGTAAGTAGGGAAGTAACCCAGCAGGTCGGCAAAGGCGATCTCATTGTAGACCATCTGGTTACGGAACTTTGCGGCGCTGATGGTGGTGAGCCTCTGATGAGACCAGGTGTGGCTGGCAATCTGGTGGCCCTCGGCAATCATGCGCTGTGGGAGGTCAGTCATTGCTCAAGGCTGCAGGATAGAGGTAGACAAACCCGGATAAGAGCAGGCCAGTTGGTGGTTGGGTCGTTTATCTTGCCCTTGCCCAGGTTGTTACCGGTAATGAAGAAGGTTGCCTTGGCATTGTATGCCTGCATGCAGGTCAGCACAGCTCATTGTTGGTCACGTGTTGAAGACATAGACATACCTTCAGCTTGTTCAGCAGATCCTCGGTATAGATGTAAGGACCATCGTCGAAAGTTAAAGCGATGTCACCATAGTGCTCGCAGTGGTAGATGGCCTGGCCATAAGGGACAGAGCCAAGCCTAGTACGGGGAACATTCGTCGTGTCTGGTCCATCGGGGCGGATATTGGCATCGCACGACGGACCATACTCGATCATGCAGGAGGGAGCCGAGCAGTAAAGGTAGCCCTGACCGCACCATCTATCGTATGGTTAGACCTCTCGGAGACTCAGTTGCCGTACGCACATAACAACTTACCCAGCACTAGAACAGCAGTCGCTCTCGTCGCAGACTTGGTTGTTGTAATCAGGACCGCAGCGGCCGTCAGAAGACTGGCGTTTACTCAACTCTGAGGCTTCGGGTAATGGCCCAACACGGGCAGCGCGGCGCTCAACTGTCCGGCGAGCTGCAGTGAAATCTTGCAAAGCCCGTCTCCCAGCCATGATGTTTGGGACGGGTAATTCATCGCCACTATGGGCCCCGTGGGCCGCAGCCAAGCCTATGCTGGCGGCAAAAGCGAGAGCGGTGAAATGCATACTGATTGAGGGGCAAAATGCCAGTCGACACAGCCAGAGAAGTTGTGTGGTAACGAATGGGCTTCCTCGAAGGTTAAGGCGAAAAGAAAGTAGCGCTTAGCGAATGGAATCGGCAGGGCAGAGTTCAATAAAGAAGAAGCCGGGCCAAATTGGGACGATGTACACGATGCAGCACTGCACTCGACAACTAAATTACACCGTGGTCCGGAAGAATAGCAAAGCGGACTAGACGGCTCGGGGCCGGCCATTATTATATAACACGGAAGCAGATGTGTCTTCGGGTAAGTAGACTAAGCAATAAGCAGCCTGACTATGGGCTGAAAATGCAACCTTGGCCTGGCGTGTGAGTGATCGGCTGCTGCAAGCTGGGCCAGTAGATGGCCGCCCAGCTCAAGGAGAGCAAATTAAACAGGGCAGATCAGACCGGGCAGTCGACAGCTCAGAGACATACTGGCCGGCTGATAATTCGCGCGTGGTGCTGGTATTGTCCAGACAGGCGCGTGTGGGATAGCTAACTAGGCGCAAGGGTGCCTTGCAGCGAGCCACTTCTTGGTTCATGGCACTCTCTACCGGCACACGGGGCTATTTTAGTCACCTGCTTGCTTGTACCGACTAATACGAGCTGGGAGAGGTCTATTCGTGAGGGAAAAGCAACGATGTTGCTGCGCCGAGAGCACATATGGAGACGGTTCAAGTGCAGATGGCTGAATCAGAATCCCGAGCCATGGGCATTCAACCCGACGGCGGCGAGGTGCTTTGCTATTCATCTTTGACATTGAAGGTCTACCAGAGCGCCACTTGGCTGTCCTCGCCTTCTTTTTTCGACCACGCTGGCAACCTGGTGTATGTTCTAACGACTTGGCATCTCGGGTTCATGAGGCTGTATGGAGCGTTGAGAGAGCCCGGCGCTGACAATATTGGAATGATACATGGTGCTATTGCGTGCCTGACTGGCGAAGTGGTGTACAAAGAAGAGTTGTTCGAGGTACAAGACGATGCCGGAGGTCAGCTGGTATGAACGCCGAGGCCGGTCAAGGTCAGCTATTGTGGGGTACTGAACAGCATGTACGAACCGTTGGGGAGCGAAAAGCAAATAAAGGATAGGACACTATGAGAAAACGAGATGTAAAGACTCCATCCTCGCTCTTACGAACACTGCAACGTGCCTTCGCTTGCCCAGCCTTGCCTTGCAGATCGGCCGAGTAACCAACGTTGCGATAGACAATGGCATGATGATTTCTCCATTTGCTGAATCCTTCGTTGGGTCCATCGTCTTATTGCCTGTGCAACTGACGCGTGAATTCGTTAGTTCATGGCTGTTTACTAGAGAAGGCTCCGTCACGAAGTCTGCCGCATGTTCTCATGTAGGTGAGATGGGCAGGATGAACTGTGGATGATGAGATGCAGTCACATTTCTGCAGCTGGTTAGTACCTTACTTGAGAGGTAATGAGGAACAAGTCAGCAACAGAGGACAGACTTCAGAGGGGTGAGGAGAAGCCATACGCGCGACGCGAGGGGGGAGAAAGGGGATGAGCGGATGAGAAGATAAAAGTGGATGAGAGGTGGATGAGAGATGCGGGAGAGAATGAGTGGATGAGTGTGAGAGTGCAGTGAACCGGGGGTGGAAGGCGGGGCAGAAAGAGGAAAAGTGGAACAAGACCGAGGGGGGCGTTCATTTCATCATTAAGAGAAAGTGAATATTCACAGGGGGCCTCATGCAATAATCGAGTGGAACACCCCAATACCCCTTTATGATGTTGAGCCTCGCTAGATGCAGATTACCCCGCGGTGAGCCAAGGTCTACCAAGATGTGCAAAGAAAGGTAAGCAGAAGTCAAAGCAACGTGCTCTCAGCGTCTGCCACGTTCCACAGGCGCCCCTGGCCTGCCGTATTATTGGCTTGGCAAGACTTCGGTGTGCGTCTGGCTACCCTCGGAAAGGGCTGTCATTGTCCGCTGTAGTGTAAGTTGCAACTTGTGAGTCCAAGTTGTGAGCCTGCGGTGACATTTCCCTCCTCTTCAGGACGCCCGGCAGCCCTGACCTTCGGAACCAAAGTGACCCTCGGTACTGGGGCTGGCAGCTATGGTGCTTTGAGAGCATCTCTGCCGGGCGACGGGCGATGACAGCAGCCAGGGGTCTGGTGAGGCAAGCATTCTGGTTTGAGCTCTTGACACCCTCTTCCCGTTCTTGAAGCTTTCTTGTCTTCTCTTGGCTTTGCTTGGCCGTCCGTCCACCATCACCATAAGCGTGGCCTTGGTCGTGACCATTGCCTCCTGTGCGTATCAGGTCTGATCTAGCTCTGATGTGACTCTTACGGTGGCAGGTAAACAAAGACTGGCAAACACCCACGACACCCTAGCCATGATGCTTCCCAAACTTCCCAACTCAGTGCCCTTCATGTCGGTAGAGGATCCGATGCCGGGTTGACAGCAACGCCGGCCGTCATTGAGGCGCTCTTTAGGCAGTTGGTTGCTCCAGTTTCGTGCAGACACGGGTTTGCCCAGACTTTAGAGACAACCAACCATGTTCCTGTTTCACCAACTCTTTTCCCACTTCTCCAGCCTCCGTCTTCCCCGTCACCATCGGGCACAGCAAAGGTCCCACGGTCTCAAGAAGGGAAAGGGAAAGGCCTGACATTTTGTCAAGTTTTCCACGATTCACAAATCCCATCATGTTACCGTTAGCAACGGATAATAATCAGCCTGGCTTCTGGGCTCGGAACCTGCCCGTTGGATTGGGTGTTGGGTAGGATGTTCCCCCCTCCACTTTCTCCCAACTCTCTCAGAAGGATTCCTCGCTTCGCCCAATTCTGCACACACACCACGCACGACGCAATGCTGCATCACGGCACAGCTGAAGCTTCGTGCAGCTCTGGCTCGCAACTCACCGCATCGGGTTGTACTAGCACAAAATTTGGTAAAACAAAAAGGTACCAGGATCGCACATGCTTACGTGAAGGAGGGGAAAAGGTTTGTGTCACCTTGCAAAGTCCGGTTGTTCCCAGCTATTACCTACTGCCGCTCACCCGGCAGTCTTCGGATTCGACCTTGAGGCTGATACCAAGAAGCTGAGGTGGATGCGATGCCACTGACGACGGTGGCATGGAAAGAGGTTGACCTGTTCAAGTGGCAAGTATTCAAGGGTTGTCCCATGCCTTCCCCTCTGCTCTGTCTAGCCCGTATTTTTGAAGCCATTTCGGGCCTTGACAGTTGTGATACGCCAACTACTTTGTCCAAGACATCCCTATGCCTTGCCAGGAACAACCAAGACATCCTACCGGTCATCGGGCGTCTGGTGGTTGGAATACGACGCGATTCAAATGAGATGAGGGGTAAAACGGGTGAGTCTCAGGCTTTTCCGCAGAACAAGTCATTGCCAGAAGCTCGCTGTCCTCTACAAATGAAGTAAGCTCGACTCTTTGTAAGAATTTGACGAAAACCCTCGGGATAATACGCAAATTAATATCTGCGGTTGAGTGGAAAATCTTGAAAATCTTCCCAAGGATTGATGTCAGTTGGTGGGGTCCGGGCACGAGGAAGGTTGGTTGGCCTACGTGCGTATGATGTTTACCCGGCCACTTCGTTCCAGGCTTCACCCAAATGGCCTGAGCCCAGGTTGCACCCTCTTTAATGGGGTCTTCTGTGGACAATAATAATGAGGGGAGTAAGATCGACATTTCGGGTCATTCTACGGGTATTGTGAGAGAGATAGGTTGTGGTCCGGGTCACTTCCCCAGGTGGACTGCCCATGGCCTTGTCAACTTGTGTCTAGGTATGCCTAGCAACCACGCAACCTAGCTTACCTAGGTCCACTGTGATCGGTGTGATGAAAGGGCAAGGTTTAGATGAGCGATTATCTAAGACAACGCCGTTGTCGTTCCATGTCTCGACCCAAATCAACGATCGCTCCCCGCGAAAGAAAAGCGTTGCTGACTCAGAGGCGACAATAGAGAGACTGTCTGAGAGGCGGACGAACACCGCCTCCGGCAACCTTCCGGACACGAGTCACTCTTGATTGATGTCGGGCTCGGATGGCGGAGTACCGCTCGGGCATAGTCCCAGAATTCTAGGGCCGGCGCTTCTAACAAGCTAGAATCGTGGGAACGAAGCCCTAACGATCTTCTATGATCTGCTACTACCTTACATCGGAACACAAATGCCCACGCCCCCCCTTGGCTGCCTAGGAGCATGTGTGCCGGGGATGTTTATGGCTACCTCGATACCAGGCCAAAACACTAGTTGCTGCTAGGTCCCGTACTTAACTCGACCTTGGGCGGCGCAAGCACTACTCCAAGAGGCCCCCACAGCGGCCCGGGCACACGGGGTTTGGTGCTAACAATACGGACATCGCAAGCCCCGGGGTTGGGCCTGAGGAGCACGGTCTAGACAGAATTGTGGTAGGGCAGAGCGACGGAAAGACGGAGGATGGAGGGGGTCATCCCCGTCTGATGTTGATGTCTCACCCCGGAACTCATGAGATGAACTATAGTGGCTTTCAGAGCTCAAGTAGTTCGTCTTATGGAGGTGGTTCCATCGTTGAGAATGTTTGAAATTGTTCAACGGCAGTGAATGTTTGCGGACACTAAACGCTCATTCGCGACGGCAAATGTTGATTCTCTCATAGGTCACCTCAATTACCTACACTCTTGACGCCGTCTAGCAGACATCAACGCCACATTACCCACTGCGGTCAATCTTAAACTCAATTCGCTGTAGTTGACGTGATTCTAGCCTAGATCCCTTAGCGCGCATTGTTGACCAGAATTTTGCCATCTGCCTCTTGACACAAGGCAAGCCACATGGGTCTGCGCTGGCCAAAGTTCGGTTTAGCTCATCATCGGAGAGATACACTATTGAACTCACTCAAGTGTCGATGAGTGGAGATGCACGCGATGAGCAAAGAGTCAA